CAAGCCCAATTTTCACTGTACACAACATTCCCTTGAATCGCTCAAGGCAGTTTTTAAAAATTGTGCTCCTTCCCTTAGCTCAAGAAGGATATAGGCTTCATGCACACAGATGTTAACCATTTCAATACCGGGCAATTTTACACCTTCCTGCCCAGGCCAGTTTTCACGTTTCAGCGCTCTCACACTTTGAATGACAATTGCGCGGTCATACAACATTGTACCCAAACTAAAATTGTATCATTTTCTTCACACAACTAGAGCTTTCTTTTGGTGGTATTTAATCACTGCTGGAGTTTTTATTTTTTGCTAAATTAACAAAAAAAGACCAAAAATTTAGAAAAAAAAACACGTTTTTCTTTGTTTGTGTTATAAAAGTTTACAAATAAATAATTGTTCTTCATAAATTTAGGCCGAGATGTATTCTGCTACATGTCTTTAGTGAAAATAACCCAAATTAGGATGTATTATTTAGTTTGTAGGAAAGTTATAGAGTTCACAAACTATGGTATAGATCTGAAAATTGATCAATCCTGAAGTACTGACAGCCAATCTAATTTCTTGAGGTCCAAGAATGGCAGAATAGTACAGATATCCCCAAATGACCCCTTTTTGCAGAGTAGACAGTCCGACGTACTTCATAAGAGGAATGGCGAGTTTTTTGAAGTTGTATTTTTTGTGTCATAATTTTTCGGAAAATGAAAAAATGAAAAAAATACTTTTCACTATTTTGTTTTTTTTTACATACTGTCACCAGTGCAGTACAGCGTCATCATATAACTGTCATGGCAGTGAACAGGGACACTGACTGGTGACAGTATGAAAAAAAAATATATATATTTTTTTTTTATTTATTTATTTTTTTTATTATTTTTAATTTTTATTAAATTTTTTTTATTTTTTTTAAGATTTTTTTTTCATATTTTACTATGACCAAAGTAGTACAATGTTACCATAGTAACATTGTACTACTTTGGGGAAGTGATCAGTATTTTTTTTTTTTTTACACAATTTGCTTATAGCAAAAAATTACTTTGCTATAAGCAAGCATTTACCTGAATGAAATCGATTAATTCAGGTTTTTTTTTTTTTTTGTGCTTAGCTGTGATTTGGCCACAGCTAATCACATGACATGTGCATGTGACCTGCTGTGACCATTCACAGCTAGGCACTAGTATACAATGGATGGCATGAATGAACCATCCATTGTATACAACTGTCATGTAACCTGCTGTGATTGGTCACAGCAGGTCACATGGTACCGGCAACGAGGGACCGGTACTCAGATCTGTCATCGGCCGTGTCCGAGGTACACGGCCGGTAACAGATCGCACCGCTGCGCGGCTCTGCAACCGCGCGAACTGCGCATGTGCGGGAGCACGCCAAATGGCGTGCACCCGGAAAGCTGATGCATTTTTGCAGCCGCCAAATGGCTATAGGCCGGGCGGCTAATGGTTAAAAGAAACTCTCTTAGAAGCTGTCCTCCTGGCAGCAGCGTTTTTGTAGAAAACACGCCTGATGCTTGTAAAAGTATCTATCCCTTTTACAAGCGTTTAAGGCGCACTTACTAGTGTCAAGCGCTTGGGCATTAATTCATTTCATGGGCCAGAATGATAATTTATTCTGGCCATTGAAATGAATCAACGCTCAAGCGCTAAACGCGCTTAGCGTTTAGCCACATCAAGTGTTTTTTCTGCCAAAACGCTGCTGCTCCTGGACGCACTGGCCCTGGTTTTTTTTTTCCTGCTGGTAAACACTACTGCTACTCAAAGCTTCTAAAGGTCTATGTGTACATGGACACATAGGATAACATGGAGGGCCATTTAGAAGCAGTAAAAAAAATGCCTGATACCCTTGTGGCGCAAAAACACCCTGTCTGTATAAGGCCTTAAAGTGTATCCATGATCAAAATGTAAATGGACAGCACAGTGGCTATATGGTTAGCACTTCCGTTTTGGCAGTACTAGGGTAATTGGTTCAAATCCCAGCCATGGCACCTCCTGTTTAGAGTTTGCATGTTCTCCCTGTGTCTGTGTGGGTTTCCTCCCACACTCCAAAGACATGCTGGTAGGTTAATTGGATCATGTCTAAATTGGGTCTAGTATGTGTATGAATGTAAGTTAGATTGTACACCCCTTGAGGGTTAAGGACTGATGTGAATGTACAATATATATGTAGAGCACTGGATAAATTGACAGCTCTATATAAGTACCTGTAATAAATTCATATATTCATTTCATCATTGCATTTCAATAAGTTCTAGTTTACTTATAATACTCCTGAAGTTTGTAAGTTTCCATTGTAAAGAACCCTATACATTTATTTGACTTTATCTTAAATTCTGTGACACCTATTGTGTGACACTGCTATGTCACACATTCCAGAAGCCTGCTTTCTGGACTACAGAGGTGCCGAGAGGAGGAGTTTCAGAAGGCGGAGTCAGTAAGGAATAACTTTGCAAGGAGCAAGGTACCATTGGATATATAGTCTGTAGAAATAAAAAAAAAGCAGCAAAGGAGAAACTGCAAAGCATGCAGGGAACCCAGGAAGTTCTGGAAAGAGATGACCAGCCGACAGGCAGAACTCACAACATGAAAGAAGATTTTTCAAGTAAGCTTATTGGGTTGTCAAAATTAATTATTGTTTGTACTGCATTGTATTACAATGCTCGTGTTATTAAAAGAAAGTGTATTCTGTGCCATAGAACTCCTTTAACCCTTTTGCTGCCAGAGCCGTTTTTGCATTATTTGCACACATGTTTAAAATATTATTTGAGACCTGAAGATTGCACAAAACCCCCAAAAGATTATATATTTTCTGAAAGCAGACACCCTAGAGAATAAAACAGTGGTAGTTCCAATTTTTTATGTCACACGATATTGCCACAAAGGTCTAGAATATGCAACAGTTCAGTTAAAAAAACTAAAGTGAATTTTAGGGGAAAAAAAACAACATAAATTACCCACATTTTTATAAAATATAAAAAATGAGGTTGTGCTGAGTAAATAGATATCCAACATGCCAAACCTTAAATTTGTGTACACCTATGAAATGGCAACAAACTTCAATACCCTATATTTTCTATAGGCAATGCTTCAAAAACCCCTATAGGTAATCAGTTTAGTGTTACAGAGGACGTCTTGTGCTAGAATTATTGCTCTCACTATGGCCTGCATGATGATAATTAACACATATATCGCCATCAATGTTTTACGCACAGGCACCGTGACATGTATGTTTTTGTTCATACGTGCGTATATGTGAGAGTGGGGGGCTCAAAATTTTTTGAGGGGAATGTTACTGTATCTGCTTGGGTGTAACTATTTTTTGTGATTAAAAAAAAAAAAAAATCACATAGGGACACAAAGTCCCCTATGTGATAATTCTTAGGTGACATGCAGGGTATAAAAGGCCCTGTATGTCTTCTCTGGCCTCCGCTCAATGTATTGCAATGCAGACTGCATTGCAACACATTGCTTCTTGGCTGTGCTAGCTGAGAAAGTGACAGCCGTGACCCGGAAGTGATGTCACACACGCCGCCTTCCAAGTCACAGAAAGAAGTGGAGGACAGCGGACGGTCATCCACTCTCCTGTCTCCCCTCCATCCACTTGCACCTGTCATGGCACTCCCTGGGCCCGCAGATGGGCAAGCAGGTCCCAGATACATGGCAGGATTGAGCACGCGGGAGTCACCGGTACTGGGGGCTGTGGAAGCAATTGGGCAACAGCGCAGCCGCCAAAATGCTTCCACAAGTGTATTGCATTTGATATATATATATATATATATATATATATATATATATTGGCATTTGAGGAGATGCTTCTCAAACAAATGCCACTGGATACAATGATAACATAGATACCACTGTTGTATTTCAGTTGACAGTTGGCTATTGTTCTGTAGCCATGGTTACCAATAGCTTGACCTTCTAACATATATTACTTATGGCATGTATGGTACAACAGTTCCATCTTAAGGTCGAATTGGAGACTATCACCTATATAACTGGACAGTGTAATAAAGTAGAGAGGAACCACACCCATGTGGGATTGGCTGTCTATGCTTTCTAAATAAAATGCAACAGAAACTGACAAGGAGGATTCTAAGATGACTTAACACCAAGGAAGATCTCTGACAGAAGAAGAAATAGTTTTTCGCCCGATCTCCTGCAAAAGACAGAAGGTTTTTTTTTACTATAATGCATTCTATGAATGAAGGTAAAACACCTTCTGCATGCAGCTGCCCCCCTAAATACTTTCCTGAGCTTGATCTCGATCCAGCAATGTGCAAGAGATCAGCGGCCTTCTTGGCTTTCTCTCTCATAACTGGACAGAGAGGCAGCAGCAAAAGCCATTTGAGAGAGAGGGGGTAATGGACACACAGATCTGGCTTGACAACGAGCACACATGAGTGCCCCCATAGCAGGCGCCTTGCCATGGGGGAACTCGGCAGGGGGAGAAGTCAGGAACGCCAGCGGGAAAACCCAAAAATAGGAGGATCGGGGCTGCTCTGTACAAAACCATTGCATAGGGCACGTAAGTAGGATGTTTGCTATTTTTTAAAAAATGGAGTCTTTAATTGTCCTTTCTTGTTAAGGGGGTTATTGTACAAAGTAAAACATACATTAATCCACATGCTTTGGTCCTCTTCTCTTCTACCCCAGAATGTGGGCAGGCACTTCTACATCACAACACGCAATAGAGGACTAGCTTTAGCCATTGGTCCTCCATCATAGGTGGAGTGACATCATCAAGAGAAGCAGTGAAAAGACTTGTCAAAGTCTCTCAAGAAGAGCAGATTCATGGGGAGGGTCATGACAACCAGAATTGGAGTGCAGGACAGTGGAAAAAGGTAAGTTTTACTTTGTGTTATAACATTCTCTTGACAAAACAAGCATTAAAGTGTTACTAAACCCACAACAGTAAAATCAGTCTGTAAATGCAGTAAAGCATACTTGTTATGCTGTGGAACCTAAGAGGTTAATCCTCTGAATTTTGTAAACATGCTGTTTGATCCTGACTTCTTTGATCCTCCCCTTCTTCCAGTGCTCTCCTCTTATCTCCTGATTAGACAGATGATGTGGAGACACTCTGCACATGTTCAATTTAGTGTGTATTGCTACAGAGAGGTCAGGGGATTTGTATCCTCCTAGAGCAGAAAGAAAACTCATCCTACAAGCTTTAGCTAGTGCTGGGCTGGACACTGATAGAAGCCACAAGACTGCTCTAACTTTTTTTTTTCTTGGGAGAATTCATGTGATTAGCACATGGCCAATCAGCACTGTCCAGACAGATGTCAGGGATTCTGCATCCTCCTAGAGCAAAATGAAAACTCCTCCTCCTACAAGCTTTAACCAGTGCTCTGCTGGACACTGATAGAAGTCACAAGACTGCTCTAACTGCTGATGAAAAAAGGTATTTAGCAGATTATATTTACTAAAATAATTGCACTTCCACGTTCTGTGTACTGTGGGAGACCAGATATAGTGGATGCAGGGTCCTGGGTTTAGTAACACTTTAAGGGGTGTGGGTGTGTGGATGTGTGTGTGTGTGTGTGTGTGTGGGGGGGGTACATTTGTTATGATTTAACTACTGCATGGAGTTAGGTTTTAAACAAACAAACAAACACTATTCATAATAAACCATTACCAATTCACCTGAGACACCCTTGTGTTCTCCAACAGATCCCATGGCACAGCGTAATATTCAAACATCCTTGTGTTTGCAGCAGGCAAAGTGTCTTGTCACAGTCTTCTGATTAATTTGCTAATTAAATACCCTTTATAGCAAACATTCCAGTATGTGACAAAACAATTTATTTATCCACGTACTGCACAGCCACCTCTGACTCTGTACTCTGAAGAGCTTTTTACTGAAAAACAACAAGCCACTATTTGCATATAATGTCATCTGTGCTCCCTTGTCACCCAAATCCTGCTAGGGGCCCACGAAATGAAACAAATCTACTGACAATATGTATGAGTAACAATGCATCCTGTAAGAAACAATAGCTGCAACATATGGACCGAAGAGCTCCGGCAGAGAATGAATGAGATGATGAAGCTATTCCATTTCTCTTTCAAAATCATGTTTTCTGCTGATTTCCCCCAAGTTAAAAAGTCGTCATTCCATACAAACAAAAACAAAAGCTCTAATGAGTAGATCTCTCATAAATGATTATGTTTCAGGCATTGCTGAAGTGGCACGGCCATACAGAAGAGTTGTTCATTTTTAAACCCAGGTTTCTTTCATCTCTCACCACCAGTCTCTTGATAATCTTGAGCTGATTAACCCCCCGGCCCTTTTAGAGAGCCATTTAAACGCTAATGATAACAAGGCTTTCTCATCAAAAGTGCCTGCAGTACCACGCACTGCATTGACATCTCTAGTACACTTATAAACCACGGATTTTGTACCTGCCGGGATGTTCAGTGACTAGAGTGTTCCGGCATTTAAGACTACTGAAAACGACAGACTGCAAGCGTTATCACAATGCTGCAGATTGTATAATTGTGGTAATACCAATGAGGAGAGCCAGTGCCAAGTTTATCAAAAAAAGCTATACTTTGAAGTTCTAGCTAAGGTACTTATTAGTAGAGCTTAGTAAACATGTATTTGATTATATCTTTGACTTAAAAAAAAAAATAGAAGAAATTTATTAGAAAACTATGTTGCTTAATTTTGAAAAACATAACAATTAACTATTTTTGACTGCAAATACAAATAGTTGTTTTCTTAACCCCTTGACACCGACGTCACACAGAACTGGGCTTTTTTCCATGGGGCCGCATATTTGCGTACCTGCCTTTGTGCTGGGAGCGCGCCGCACAGACCGGGGTGTCACTGAGAGCCCCGGGTCCTGTTCTAACGCCCGGGACTCAGGATTCCGGGTCACATGATGCCTGTGATAGCCTCTGATTGGCTATCACAGTGGTCAGTCACTGAACCGCCCGGCCCCCCCTTGTTTTTTTTTCTCTCTCTATAAATGGAAGAGAGAGATACATTATATCTCTCTAACTCCTGGCATAGAAGGGGGAAAAAATGTTTGTTAAAAAGAAAAAAAAGATAAATAAATAAATATTAAAAAATAAAAGAAAAAAATAAGAAAAAATACCTAGATCAAGGCTTAATCTAGCTCAGTGCCAGGGTAAGTGTTTGGGTCAAGGTCAGGGTTAAAGGTCAAGGTCAAAGGTCAGAATTTTCTTTTTTTAAATTAGTATTAGTATCAGTGTGTTTTAGGTAATAAAAAATAAAAGACAAAATATGCACTATTGTTTCTGGGCTGTACTACGGGTACAAACAACAAATAACATACACATACATGGTATCGCTGTGATCGTCGAGAGCTGGAAAATTTATTTTGGGTTGTTTTTTTTGGTGGTAGGTTATGGCAGTAACAAGAAAACACACAGCTAAATTAAAACTTTTTTTTTTTTTTTTACTATTCTGGGACAGTTTTCCTTTGATAATAAAAAAACAAATCAGGAGATATACATTACCATTTACCACCAAATGAAAGCCCAATTTGTCCTGAAAAAAAAAAACAAGGTATAATTCCCCTGGATGTATTAAGTAGTTGTGATGATATGTACGGTTTTACTAACACATGTCAACGTTGCAAAATTGTGCTTAGGCATTAAGATTTGTTTTCCCCTTAGGCATGAAGGGGTTAAAGTATATTTCAATGTTTGCCGCCAAATGGGGAAAACACCTATATGTCCTCATTCACATAGTATGACAAAGGAAAAAGAAAAAAATTAAATGAGCTGCCCACCTACTTAGATGCTCTATTCTGGACCCTCCCCTCCAGCATGGGAAAAATCCTAGGTAGTTCTCTTTGTTTATGAGGGGGCTTGGGAGCTGTGTTTGCAATAATTAAAGTGTTACTAAACCCAGGACCCTGCATTCACTATATTGGTCTCCCACAGTACATACTACATGGAAATGCAATTATTGTGTAAATATAAACTGCTAAATACCTTTTATATTCTGAATGTACTTTGAAGTTCTAGCTTATTAGTAGAGCTTAGTAAACATGCATTTGATTATATCTTTAACTTTAAAATAAATGCAAGAAATTTACTAGAAAACTATGTTGCTTTATTTTAAAAAATATAAAAATTAACTAGCACTGATGCCGGGCCCTACTGCGCCTACCAACACCTAGCCCACTCCACCTCCAGACGCTGGGCCTTCAGCACCTCCACTCATACCAACCCCGGCTCAACTTGACCTAAAGACTTGAACCCTTGTTGAAATCCACCACACCGAGAGACCCCTCTGCACCCCAGACTTTCACCACTTAAGCGCCCCTGGAAACCGTTCATCCACACCTGATCCCCTCCCCCTTCTCCCCTAAACTCCAGCCACCAGAAGACATATCGACGAGATACGCCTCTGCCCGCTGGACTATCGACAACCAAGCCTCCCACCACTCCTATCCGCCCTCCTGGGCACCTCCCCAAAATGCCTCTTCCACTCCTCCTTCTCATTTTCCTCTCCTCCATTCCCAAAATCCATTCACTATATCCCTCTGCTCCTCCCAAACAATTGTATATTGTGTCCTCACTGCTTCCTTCACCCCTCTACGGCAACCACCACCTCCTCCTATTACTCCACTCTCCCACTGACCCGAACACCTCCACTAGTAGTTTCTCACGCTCCTGCACATCCCACTCCCATGCCACCTTTCTCACCCTTCTCCTCCTCCTAACTGCGGGGGACATCTCCCCGAATCCTGGCCCTCCACCACCTCCCTCCCTCACCCACACAACACCCTCCCGCCTCCACGTCCTGCCGCAACCCCCGCAACTTAGCAATCCCCGCAATCTGTCCCCCTGCTCCCTAAAATCTCCCCCCCCGTTTTCATGTGCACTCCTGAACGCCTGATCGGTGTGCAACAAGCTTACCGCCATCCACGACCTCTTTGTTTCCCGCTCCTAGCGATTACGGAAACCTGGATCAGGACACTGACTCTACCTCCCCTGCTGCACTCTCCTATGGAGGTCTCACCTGGACCCACTCACCCAGGCCCAACTGTCGTAAAGGTGGTGGGGTTGGTCTGCTCCTGTCACCGCAGAGCACCTTCCGAGTCCTCCCAAACCCCCCCCTCTCTATCCTTCTCCTCCTTCGAGGCCCACTGCGTCCGACTATTCTCCCCAACCCCCCCTGATGATTGCTGTGATATACCAGCCTCCTGGATCCATATCCCACTTTCTGGATGACTTTTCCTCCTGGCTACCCTTCTTCCTCTCCTCTGAGCTACCCTCCATCATCCTTGGGGATTTCAACATCCCTGTCAACCTCGACAACCCGGCCACATCCCATCTCCTCCACTTAACCTCCTCCTTTGCACTTGCACAGTGCATACAATCCACCACCCACTCCAATGGTAATATCCTTAATCTTGTCTTCTCCAACTGCTGCGCTTCCCACAACCTCACTAACACCCCCTTCCCTCTCTCTGACCACAACCTGATTACCTTCTCTATCTCCTCATCCTCCAACGCCTACCCCTCCAAATGTCACACTACTACCAGCCGTAACCTCCGCAACCTTAACCCTGCCCCCCTCCACTCTGCAGCTGTTCAACTCCACGACAGCATCTTTCCCCTGTCCTGCCCCGACTTGGCAATGACTGCCTACAACAACGCGCTGTCAACAACCCTTGACTCACTAGCGCCTTTAACCACACACAACATCAGACCCTGACCGCTCCAGCCCTGGCAGACTGATCACACACACCAGATCCCTCAAACGACACAGTCGTGCCCTGGAGCGACTATGGCGCAAAACCAAATCCCAACAACCCTTCACCCGCTACAAATCTGCCTTCCACACCTACACCTCCTCCCTCCATGCAGCCAAACAAGCCTGCTTCCTGACCCTCATCAAGCCCTCTCCTCCAATCCTCACCGACTCTTCTCCACCTTCAACTTTCTACTCTCGCCACCCCCCACCTCCACCCAGCACCTCACTCACCGCCCTTGAGATTGCCAATCACTTCAAAAACAAGATTGACACAATTCGCAAGGACATTGCCGCAACTCACACGCCCTCTCAACCCTTCCCCTCTCACACAGCTACCCGTTCATCCCCCCTCTCCCTCAACATAACCCGCAGGGACTTCGTCGCTGCTCAAACTCCCTCCAACCCCATTCCCCCTCACTCAGCTACCCCCTCATCACCCCTCTCCCACGGCCCCACCACTGCTCTGACCTCCACTTCCACCCCACCCTACATTCCTCATACTGAAGCCCCCCCAACACTCCACACCTTTGACCTTACTACCATCGAGGAAGTCTCCAAGATCCTCCTCGATCCCCTACAGTCCGGCTTCCGTCCCCTACACTCCACCCAAAACTGCCTTACTCAAACTCTCCAACGACCTGCTAACTGCCAAAGCTAATGGCCACTATTCAGTGCTCCTACTCCTTGACCTCTCT